AAGGAGCGGGAAGCCCGATGCGGGACTCGATCCCAGGACCCTGGGATCATGACCTGAGCCGAAGGCAGACGCTCAACCATCTGAGCCACCCAGGCGCCCAAAATGAATTCCTTTCTTATTTTACCACCACTGTTTTTCTGCCTTTGGATTTTGTCAGTGGCAAGTGGCTGAACCTGGTCTGTTTGGGATCCCCGGAGCCAGGCGCTCTTGCACCCCTGCGCCGCCCGGGTTTCCATGCTGAGCATCCCAGGCAACCCTCTAAAGAGACGGCAAAGAGAGAAAGAAATCCCACCCTTTTCTATAGCCCAACAGGTACAAAGACTCGTATACATTTTGTCAAGATAAAGAACTAGTCCTCAGGTAAGAGGACTTGACAGCACCATTCGTCACACATAGTTCATCCCAAATTCACTCGGTAATTGGGATGACCATCTGTTAGCTAGTTGGCTTTAATAACAGGAGGTAGTTTGGGAGTGAAGGAGAGAAGGGTGCTGACTTTCCTGAAGATGACACTTCAAGGAGATGGTTAGCAGGTCCTTAAGAAAGACACTGTGAGTTACAAAAATGGCCAGAGGCTCATTCAGATTTCTAAAAGATTTATGGAATATATTTCAAAAAGACTGAAAAAGAACTTACAAATTTTCTAAAAGTAATTGTCTAAGAAAAGAGAGAGGGAAGAAGTCTATTTGTTTATTTTCAGCAGGGAAAATTAAGCCTCTTACTTTTTTTTTTTTTGCATTTGTCTTAATACAACCAGCCCTGGGAGCCCAGTCCCACAGCGCTCTTTGCTTCCATAATGCTCTGTCAACCTCAGGTATATATTTGTGCTAGATCGTATAAGGCAAGACAAACAGACCTGCTTCCTGCCTGAGGGAGCTCACCCCTGAAACTGACATCGTGAATGTAAATTGAAATTAGGATCACCTTTGCCTGGAGAGCTTTTTTTGTCTTTAATTATAAAAACACACACTCATTGCCAAATTTCCTCCAGTAACAGAAGTGTATAAAGTAAAACATGAGAGTCTCACCAGCCATTTCCATCCACTCTGTAGCAGCAAAAGTTGTTAAACTTATTTTATGCTTATAGGACATACACCTATTTATTCACACACAAGTATCTTTTATTTTACAAAAAATGGAACGGTGTTACATGAATTGTCTACAACTTGATGTTTTAAAATATCTTTCCATGTCAGTACTTATAAAACCACCTAATATAATTTTAGATGTCACTTTTATAGCCAATGGACACTGAGATTGCTAATGGTGGTAACATTTATGGGCATAAATTCCTACTATTAGGACTCATGGCTCCTAGTGTATGCCATTTTATCTTATCTATCTATCTATTTATTTATTTATTTATTTATTCATTATTTTAAAAAGATGTTTATTTATTTATTTGAAAGGGAGAGACAGAGAGCCTGAGAGAGAGAGAGAGCAAGCACAAGCAGGGAGGGGGGAATGGGAAGAGGGAGAGGGAGAAGCAGACTCCCTGCTGAGCAAGGAGCCCAATGCAGGGCTCAATCCTAGGACCCTGAGATCATGACCTGAGCCAAAGGCAGACACTTAACTGACTGAACCACCCAGGTGCTGCTATTTTATTTATTTTTAAAAGATTTTTAAAAAAATAATCTCTATACCCAACATGGGGCTCAAACTCACAACCCCAAGATTGAGAGTCACATGCTTTACCAACTGAGCCAGCCAGACACCTTAGTGTATTCACATTTTAAATTTCAGTAGATTAAAAAAAAAGTAGTTAAATGAGAAAAAAAAGTTTAACGGAAAAATAAATAAGCAAATTTCAGTAGATACTTTCCTAGATTCTGCCAAATTGTCTATAAAAATGTAGCAACAATTTCCTACCAACGTTGTATGAAAATGTCCATTTTCTTCACCAATGGCATTACAAGAGACTGTCAATCTTTTTTTTTTTAAGATTTTATTTATTTGACGGAGAGAGAGAGTGAGAGAGAGCGAGAGAGAGAGCGTGCACAAGCAGTGGGGGAGCGGGAGTGGGAGAAGCAGGCTCCCCACTGAGCAAGGAGCCCGATGTAGGACTTAATCCCAGGACCCTGGGATTATGACCTGAGCTGAAGGCAGATGCTTAACCGACTGAGCCACTCAGGCACCAGATACTGTCAGTCTAAAAATTCTTCTGACAGTATTCATGTAAAAAATAGTATCTCATTATTATTTTGTATTTACTGTATTACTAGAGAGGTTGAATATCTTTTCATATGTTCATGGCTATCTGTATATCTTTTGTGAATTGCTTACTCATATTTTTTGTCCTATACATAAAGATAAAACATTTAGGAGCACCTGGGTGGCTCAGTCGGTTGTGTCTGCCTTCAGCTCAGGTCATGATCCCAGGGTCGTGGGATCAAGTCCCGCATCGGGCTCCCTGCTCAGTGGGGAGCCTGCTTCTCCCTCTCCCCCTGCTGCTCCCTCTGTTTGTGCTCTCCCTCTCTCCCTCTCTTCCTCTCTCTCTGTCAAATAAGGAAACAAAATATTAAAAAAAAAAAAAGATAAAATATCTATTTTTCTGCTAGTGTTACAGGACTTTTTCCTTCAGTGCCCACAGTTCTTGGTCATGCTACTTTGAAGAATGAAGAGGTAGATCAGACAAAGAGTGGTGGGCAGCAAAGCAAAGTTTACTGAGCCATAGTAAAGTTTATTGAGTGACAGTACAAAGCTCCCGAAGAGGGAGGGGACCCGAGAGGGTTACCACCAGAGTTTCTAAGTCTAGGGGTTTTTATGGGCTTGTTGGTGGGCTGTTTTAATCTGATTAACCCTCCATCCATGAACCTGTCATCCATTCAGGTATTTGTCATCTATCGTGTGGGAAAGGGTGGAGGGCTCCTTCCAGGGTGGTGCAAAATCCTTCTAAGGGTGGTTTCCTCTTAGGGCGAGGGGGTGGGGGGCTTAATCATGCCTGCCTTTCTTCCAACTATCCTTCATCACTGGGTTGCTTTCCCTTTTCTGATTGCATTGTGTAAACTATTTTGGGGCTTATCAAAAATCTTAATACTTTGCATACCCTTCAATTCTGCAATTTTCCATCTAGGGAAGGAAATCATTGGTCAAACGGGCAAAAATGAATGTACAGGGTGCTTAACACATTGTTCATAATACAAAAACATTCAGAAGGAACTCGAAAATCCAACAATAGAGAATTGGATCAATGCATTATGACAAATCTACACGAAGGAATACAATTAAAATAATGATATGTTTCTGGGCGCCTGGGTGGCTCAGTAGGTTAGGTGCCTGCCTTCGGCTCAGGTTGTGATGCTGGGATCCTGGGTTGAGTCCCACATGGGGCTCCTTGCTCCGTGGGGAGCCTGTTTCTCCCTCTGCCTGCAGCTCCCCCTGCTTATGCTTGCTCTCTCCCCACCTTCTCTCTGTGTCAAATAAATAAATAAAATCTTAAAAAAATAATGATCTATTTCTTATATGCTATATTTATTGATGTAGAGAGATTTCTAACAATGAAGTTAAGAAAACATCTCATAAAGCACTTTGTCAGTATGCTTTTATCCTGGTAAATATATATTTATATATAATAATTGTGTGTATATGTGTGTCTATGTATCTGGAATATATATACACACATTTATGTATAAACATATATATATATATATATATATTCCAAAATGGTTAATGTGGTTATTTCTGGGTAGTATAATTATGGATGGTTTTAAATTAATTAATTATTATTTTTAAAATTTGGAATGCTACACAAATTTGCATAATCATCCTTGCCCAGGGGCCATGCTACTCTTCTCTGTATTGTTCCAATTTGGGTCTGTGTGCTGCTGAAGCAAGCACTGGATGGTTTTTTAAAAGTTTTTTTTTTTTTCTATAGTAAAAATGCTTTGTTCACATAAAAAAGGCAAAATGTTCTCAGAATTGAACCTCCACTCAGATCGGGGAATAATGACGTTTCCTAATTGAGTCTCCCCACGAATGCAGATCACATTTACCTCCCATTACATTACTGTTTTTGGCAGCTTCATCCTTTACTGCTTCAAACTGAGCATCCAGTCCACTAAAACCTTCATTTTGGTTTAATGTTTTCATACGAACTGTCCTTGCTTTACTTGCTTGGTTCATTTTTTAATGTAGGGAGATGTGACCTTCATCTCTGCCCACAGCTTGGTCGTATCAGAAGACAGAGTGTGCAGGTGCTTCCTGATTGGTGAAGCCCTCCTTCCTTCCTTGGCAGGATCCTTTGGGAGAAAACTACTAGAACTTCACATTTGGGAACTCACTGTCCCTTTTGAGCCCCTTAGGTAATTTTCTTTGGAACATTTTAGGATCTGACTTCTTGAAATCCGTAAAAATTATGTCTGGCCATCTTCCTTCAACATTCTAGCAAGTGAAATTGTTAGTGGGGCAAAAATTTACTAGGCGCTCTGCTTCCAACAGAAGAGGCTGATGTCCTGCTGCTTGCGACCTCTGGCACAGCCGTATCCTGCCTTCGATCACTTTTATGGTCTGAATTAAAAAAGCATCACCCATATCCTCTATGTATTTTAACATCTATTCTGTACTCCTACCAGGTTTTATTTCCTGTTTGCTTCTTCTTTTATCTGCATCCAAATGCTTCTTTTCTTCGGAAGGTTTGTGATTTCCTTTTTGACATATACTCCACTGTTGAAAACTGTAATTAGATCTACTTCCTCTGAGCAGTGTTATCTTTCCAGGGTCATCCACCAGTCATGAGCTCCATATAATCTATTTTCTTGTGATAAAATTCAAGTTCCATTCCCATTCTGGTCTTCTATAATATAGCACTTCCCAGACTTTAGGATTTTACTAAAATTAATTAAAATTTCGGGGGGGAAAATCCCCCAAATTAATGTTTGGCAACAGGAAATGACATTTCCTTCCATCCCCAAGCAATCTTAGAATATCATCATCTTTTCATAGAAGAACAATAATTTAATCCTGAGAAGGTTAGAAAGGACTTAATTTCAGAATTTAATAATATTGAAAAAAGTGTTATTTCACTGTAGACCTGAAATCCTTTGTCATGGACCAGCTCCAGTCCACAGACCCATGTGGGAAACCACACCTAGAATATGTGGTTTTCCAGTTCTATTTGGATGCTTTCCCCTTTCCTCCAAAATTTTAAGAGGTCCATGATGTCCAGGTTTTGTGTTAATTACCTTGTCATTTATCAGAGGCCCATAAATCTTCTGTCACAAGTCACAAGGGGTCCCCCCAATCCTGGTCTGCGACACTATCTTAGTTGCCAGGCGTCCAGCCTCGTGCTCTTTCTTTTCCAAAGTCACTCTTTGAATTGGAGAGATGAAATATCACTGCAACCACAAGTCCTTCACAGTCCTCTACAGTAACCAAGATGTCCCAGGTTTCTTTTGCTTGTATAATTTGTTCTCATATGGATCAATTAAAATACGAGGTTGCCAAATTACAACAAGCTCTATCTCAGACCTCAGAATACACTTGAGGAAGGAACTTAATCATTAGCAAGGCCAGGTCTGGGCTCCTATCCCTTAGAGAGTTACCAACTAAGAGAATGGGGTCTCATCCTCCTGGGTTGGGGGAAGGGCTGTGCGCCTCTGTTGGTGTCAATGAATCCTCCCTGATACTCTACCTAGGGATGCATTATTCACGTGAAATTGTCAGGTTGGGATTGTCTTTTCTCCTCAACCATACCAAAGAGTGATATTTAGTAGGATAAAGACAAAGACTTTTCTAGCATAATAATGCTGAATTTATGCTATGAAAAACAGTCGACATTCACAGGAGAAAAGATGGTTTGTTTTGAGCTATTTCATTCGGATGGGGTTCAGTTCTGACACTCAAAATCTCATGTCTGGCTTGCTTCTGCAAGACACACTAGGGCTTTGGGTGGGGGAGGCAAGGAGGGAGGGATACCAGAGAAAAAGGACCTTCCAGACCCTATCCAAGGAGGACTCTGTATGAATTGAAAGGTCACATGATGAGAGGAGGGATGTTTTTCACTGTTCGTTAGACCTTGTGCTTGTTACCAGCCGATAGGAGTATATTCTCTCTGGTCATGAATTGTACCTGCAGTCATGGGCTGATCGTGTGATAGGTCTGAACGAGGGAGGTATTCATCAAGATTTCACCATCTTTTTGGCAATGAAACCAGACTGCATTTTTAGCTCACATATTTTGGTGTCTATCCCAAGAAGGAAGTTAAATTTAGCATATTTCCTGCTAGCCACTGAACAGTGCAGGACCTCCCCAGTCTTGGATTACTCCCAGTCCTCTGTGTCTGTCTGTGGAATCTCTCCTTGCAAACTGCTAGGCCTTTGAGGAACCCAAGTGTATAGGGTGAACTGCTACCCCAAATCCTTAGAACCCACCAGGAAAGGTGTAGACTGGTGGGATATTCATAGTGATTTCTTAGTCCCAGCCCTGAGAATGTTAGGAATGACCCAGTCAGATGGAATGTGTGTGGGGTGTGTGTGTGTGCACACACATGCATCCATGTGTGTGGGCCTGGGAGTGTAAACAGGGTACTCTGGGGGCCCTTCCTCAGACTCTTCTTGCATGTGGTCCTGAGGAATGTGTCTGCATTGTGTTGGGTTTGAGAAAATTAGATCAGCATGTTATGCAGGTTCCCAAAGAGAAGTGGTTCTGGAGTGAGCAGAAAAATGGAATTTCCAGGGCCATAGGCCATCCTTCTCCACATAGGGCCTTCTGGGCCAAGTGTCAGAGACACAGTTTCCCTTAGATCAGTGCCTGCAGACAGGAGGTATCAGAATCTCCCAGGGAACGTGTTTAAATGCAGATGTCATGATTAGACTCCATTCAGATACACTGAGTCAAACTCTGGGGAATACAGTCCAGGAATCTACACCAAAAAAACCCCCCAAAAACGTAGTGCAGGTTGTGTTGAGCAGGTTTGGTGACTACTGCCTCACTTGCTCAATAGCATCAGTGTTCTCCTCAAGTCCTTTTGATTTTCTCTCCGAAGCGTTTCTTGCAGCTTTCTCCTCTGTGCGTCTGCTAACCACTGGCCATGTGCAAGCTACCAGCCTCTCTGGCTTGGACCGCTGCAGTAGCCTCAAGTTCCCCTGCAGGGACCGTCCCCCTCCAATCTGTTCCATAGAGCAGCGAGGGTGGCCGGTTCAAGTCACAAATTGGATTCTGTCACCCTCCCCACTCCACCCTGACCCTCACTCCAGGTCTTTCTTTCCATTGCCTTTAGGGTGAGCACAACATTCTTCTGGAGGCTGGAGGACCTGGATCCCTTGCCACCACCCCAGCCTCATCTCAAGCATCATCCCTGCTCACAGGCCTCTGCTCTCTCCATAGAAGCTCCTTCCCCCTCTACTGCCCTTCCTTCAGGCTCAGCAGGGGTCCTCACCTTCTCAGGTCTTCCCACCCTCACAGTGCGGCCCTTTTCAGTTGCAATTTTATACTGATTCACGTAATTAAGTGTGTGTCTCTCCAAGATGAGTGTGAAGTCCCATGAAGGCAGGCACCAGGCTTCTTCACTGTTGCAGCCCTCGTGCTTGGCATACGGTGAGCTCGAAACACCTGCCCTCTCCTCCACACGGCAGGGGTTAGTCATCAAGCAATCTTCAGTCACAAAGACACCACATCATGGAACGTGTAATTACACCTAGGAGTTCCATTCATCCATTCATTTCCCCATTCCTTCATTCCTCATGACAAGAGTAGGATGATGTGCTGTTGGGAGCTGAGGAATTCCGAGCCGGGCTGGAGTCAGCCAGCACACGACAGGCACTGTTGGTAATGAGCACATTTTTGAGCACTTGGCATACCTCACTTCTCTGGGCTCAATCAAAACAAACATTTATTGAACATTCACCAGGTGCCCAGAGGTGCTCCTTGTCCTTAAGTAGCTTCTGGTCTAGGAAGAAAGGCAGACACTGAACAAGTGACAAGTTCATCAGTCTTACAAGGAAGGAGTTGGGTACACCATGGAAACACAGAAGGGGGAGTCCAAGTCTAGTGTGGGAGGTCAGCGGGGGGCCTCCCTGCATAAGGAATATCTGAGCTGAGATCTAGAGGAGGAGAAGGAAGTAGAACAGGCTGTAGGAACAGTCCAGATGCAGGCCCATGTGGAGTGAACTTTGGAGGATGGGGCAATTTAATGGGCAGTGGGGAGCACCAGTTCTCCCTAATTCTCCTCCTGTGACCTGGGGCTTGGCTGACACAGCCTGTGCTGACCGGGCAAACGCTAGGCTAAACAGGAGAGGGGTGGCGTGGAAGCAGGTCCCTCTCTGGCCCCCCTTCTCCGACTCAGGCACCACCCAGTACTCTCGTCAGAGCAACACCAAACATCGCCAGCAGTTTTTCCTCATTTCTTTATTAATATAGAAAAGGAGCCCAAGGCAGCTGGACCAGTAGTACAAAGCACCAGGAGTTAATACTATTCTGGTGAAAGGGTTGGCTTTACAAAACTCAAGGAGCGGACAGAAGCTGCCCTGGTTCTGGGGCCAGGCCCAGCCCTCTGCCCAGAACCTCAGAGCAGCACCTGGACCAGCCCCCAGGAGACAGTGACAGGTAGGTCGGGGGTGGGAGGAGCTGAAGACCACGGCACAGATGGCAGGGATAGAGGGCCAGGCAGTGAGAACCATCCTGTGGCTCATGAGGACAGGGAACTGCTGGCTTGAGGCTCTCCATCAGACCATGGGCAGGGTAGAAAAACCCCGTGGATGCTAGTGGAAACAGGGAATCCAGACACGGCCCTGGGGTTGAAGGGCCTTTCCCGTATCTCTCCAGCAGGGGCCACCTTTGCTCTACCCTACAGGTGGGGCTTCAGGGCCCAAGGCACAGAGGGAGGCCAAGAGGCCTCCCGA